AATTGGGAAGACAAATAAATCGATACTAACAGGAACAGATCATCTAACCACATATTCCACCCCCCTCCCACCCCAGTGGTACGATGGTAAAGACTGGTGATGTAATGCGTATAATCCCGGCTAACGGCCACGCTAGAATCCAGATGGACGGCAACGACGAGAAATGATTGAATGATTTCCCGCCCTCGTCCCCCTCTTCCCTCCCTACCCATTCCATATGCATTATGAGTACAATCCCCACCCTCTCTTCCAGAGAGCACTTGAGTCAGGTACCCCACAAGCCACAACTATCCTCATCGCCGAACATTTGTGCTGAATCGGAAATAAATATATTTAAAATCTGAAATGTATAAATACATACTACAAAAAAATGGAACCTCCATACTTGGTTAACTTTTTCAGTACCAGGCAACTTGATCATGCCAAAGATAATACGAGGTTCTTGATGTTTTCTATCACAGACACATTAACCCTCTGTATCTGAATTGTTAGTTCAACCACTTCTGTTCTTTTACATCTCTGTTGAACTTCTATAATTTGAAATATTGATTGCTTGTATACTCAACATCTTTAGATAATAAAGGGTACAGTAATAATGCTTTTCAATCATTGTCTGTTTTTGCTCTGTTAGCGTATGTAACTTGGGTGAGCACAGTTTCACAATCTCGACATTGTTTTCAGCAAGCAACTCTTCTTCCTCTTTTTTTACATTTCCTGGGTGTAAACTACGGCGGAAAGTCCTAGTTGTTAGTCCACTTCAGGACTTAAGCCTGGTTCCAGAACTTGAATTTAGCACCTGCATTCCTTTTACTTATCTGGCTTTTTTGTATGCAGACTGTTCGTTCCACGGTTCTCTGACTGATGCAATACGATTTCCAAGTAAATTAGACACCTTTTTAACATGCTTGTTATTCTCTCCCCCGCCTACTTCCCCCAAATCCCATCCAGGGTTAGTAGCTGGTTACGCAAGCTACCTCTCCGGTCATTAAGTAGCAGCCGATTAGAGTTAACAATGGTATCAACATTCTTAACGTTATGAAGGCAATGGTAAACTACTAAACGTAAAATTGCTGTGTAAAACGATATAACAGCTGATAAATGGTGTTGGTTTGCAGTGTCCTGAAGTGGTCATACAACTAACTAAATGATTAATTAAATGACTAACTAACGAACAAAAGAAAGACAACGAACCAACACCTGCCCGCTCGCTCACCTGACAGCTGCCCCTAGCGTACTCAGTCACACAATCACTGTCGCACTGATTAATTGACCGACTGCCTGACTGACTGACTAACTGACTGAACTGACTGACTAACTGACTGACTGACAGTCCCTCCATCCTTCTCTCCCTCAATCACTCACTCACTCACTCACTCACTCACTCACTCACTCACTCACTCACTCACTCACTCACTCACTCACTCACTCACTCACTCACTCACTCACTCACTCACTCACTCACTCACTCACTCACTCACTCACTCACTCACTCACTCACTCACTCACTCACTCACTCACTCACTCACTCACCCACCCACTCACTCACTCACTCACTCACTCACTCACTCACTCACTCACTCACTCACTCACTCACTCACTCACTCACTCACTCACTCACTCACTCACTCACTCAGTCGTCCACCCACAGGCTCGCTTGCTCGCTCGCTCACTCACTCACTAACTCACTCACTGTCCGTTACATGTTTGCCTTCTGTATTTCTTTCTTTTTACTCAGATCATTTGTATCTAATTTTCTCTGCTAGGGCTTTGTTATGAACGGCCCCTTACAAAATCTTTAGGGGTAATATATAACCCTGTGAGATCAATCTTCATGCCTTTAAACACCCTGTAATTTTTCTATAAATATTTGATTTGCTGTGATCTCGCCAGGTAATGCTATCACAGTCGTTACTGAATTAGTACGTTATTTGTCATTTGTGTTGTTCTAAAACATTTCCCTATTTATTTTGCTGGTTGGATATTTGGATATAATTAATGTTTGATCTTTAAGTGCTTATTCACAGCCATGATTCAACATTACATAATAAAGGCTCTTTGCAACAGTTTATATGTTGAGTAACTATATTTAACATTGAGGTAACATTGTCACAATACATTTATTATGACATCACGCTTATTATCCTGTCGTGCCTTACACGTAACACAGGACTCGCAGTCTAGTCCCTCATTCCGTTCCATTCTGTGCAATCTTTTGGATGTCATGGATGGAATCCAGTCCAGCATCCGTAACTCTCTTAGACAAGGTTTCTTTTAGAGCTAATCTTGTACGTCCTCATTTTCACAATCCTTCCCGTGTTGGTTCTGGAGTCGCATTGTGGGGGAGGGGAGTGGGAGGGTAGGGGAGGGGTGGGGGGGGGGGGGAGGCGAGGGGGGTGGTGGTACCAAAAATAGACCCACCGCTTCCCCAACAAGCATGTCGTAAGAGCCAATTAATTTGAGGATTGCTTCGAAGTTGGAGTGCATTTGCCTGAAAGGTAAGGAACTAGCAATATACATATGCACAGATACGTACAACGAATGTGCACGCAATACACAGGTTCTGTAGCAAGTCTAAAACCAGAGGTGGATAAACAACCAGAACTTTCTGCCGGAGTTACAGCCGGTGAACGCGAAAAAGAAGAAACAGACGAAGAAGAAGAAATATTGTCCATATGTCGAGACCATTATTCCATTTGCATCCATGTCTGTGTCTTGCTAGCTTGCTTTTCTTTCCCGCCAATATTGTTTTATAAGAATTTCATGTCTTTAAATATTGCCTAAATATGTTACTTGTCTTTTTCGACAACTCTAGTTTACACCCTCCCACAACTCCTCCCAAATCTCTGCATTCAGGAGTTTTCATTCCCCATGTGGGTTCCTGGACCACTCTAATGGCGACGGGGCCTTCTTCGCCTGCTCAATAGCATATGGTAAATGGTAAAAGGCAACATTTTGGGGCTTGCTGAAATCGAATGTTGTGGGCAGAAAGATGCAGATATTGCTTTCAATAACGAACGCAGAAAACCTGCGAAAAGACAGTTTTCATGTTTTCCATGAAAAATTACGCATTATTTTGTAAACCCACATCTCCTGAGCCTGATTTGTTTTCATCCTTACTACACATGTTTCCGGGGCCCTATTATAGGGGAAAACAAGAATAGACCCACTGCCTACCCAAAAGCATGTCGTGAGAGTCGACTAATTGGGAGCTTACTTCGAAGTCGGAGTACATCTGCCTGAGAGGCAAGGAACCAACAGTCTGCACACAAATGTGTCAGATCTGTCAAACAGATGCACAGGCAACTCTCAGGTTCTGGAACAGGACTGCAGTCCAGAAGTGGATGAACAACCAAAACTTTCCACCAGAGTTTACAGCTGGTGAACGCAGAGAAGAAGAAGAAGAAGAAGAAAGACTACACATATATATATGCTGCTTGCTAATAGTACACAAACAAATTGCTTAGGAGTCATGATAGTAATGGGTTGACGACCTTAATGCCTTGGGAGCCACAGTGGTGTGGTGGCTAGACGCTCGCCTGAAAATTCAAAGCTCTTGGGTTCAGGTCTTGACGGAGCCGAATGTTTTCGAAAATGACCTTGGCTCCCAGGTGGACCCAGCCTTAAATGTGTGCTAGGTAACGTCATGGGAAGTAAAGGTGGCCGGCCTAATGTTGACCACATCATCCAATGAATACCGACTGGTCTACAAAATAAACGTCTAGCCCTATATAGTTAATATGCATGAAGGCGAGGAAATGGGTCGTTTCATTTGCTTACATTAGTGGCTTATGCTATTAACAACAGCTGAGATGATGACTTGGAAAGCTGACCGAGCAAACTTGCGCTTCATAGACATGTACAGATAACTGAACTGGGATCAAACTTCCGCTTCATAGACATGTACAGATAAGTGAAGTGGGAGCAAACTTCTGCTTCATAGACATGTACAGATAACCGAAGTGGGAGCAAACTTGCGCTTCATAGACATGTACAGATAACTGAACTGGGATCAAACTTCCGCTTCATAGACATGTACAGATAAGTGAAGTGGGAGCAAACTTCTGCTTCATAGACACGTACAGATAACCGAAGTGGGAGCAAACTTGCGCTTCATAGACATGTACAGATAACCGAAGTGGGAGCAAACTTGCGCTTCATAGACATGTACAGATAACCGAAGTGGGAGCAAACTTGCGCTGCATAGACATGTACAGATAACCGAAGTGGGAGCAAACTTGCGCTTCATAGACATGTACAGATAACTGAACTGGGATCAAACTTCCGCTTCATAGACATGTACAGATAAGTGAAGTGGGAGCAAACTTCTGCTTCATAGACATGTACAGATAACTGAACTGGGAGCAAACTTGCGCATGATAGACGTTTACAGATAACCGAAGTGGGAGTAAAGTTCCGCTTCATAGACATTTACAGATAACCGAAATGGGAGCTAACTTCCGCTTCATAGACATGTACAGATAACCGAAGTACGAGAAAACTGTTGCTTTATAGACATTTACAAATAACCGAATTGGGAGCAAACTTTCGCTTCATAGATAACTGAAGTGGGAGCAACTAGAACTTTATGTTAAGTTACGTCACAAAAGACGTCGCAATTCTGCACTGATACTTCTTGCTGTGAGCCGCAGTAGGGTGGCGACTAGACTCACTTTCCGACCCGAAGGTTGTGGGCTAGAAGTCACGACGAGTCGGATCTCGTTTTCCAGAACTAGCCTTTGATTCCAGTTCTATTCATCTTAAAATAACAAAGCGGCATAATAACATGTGATTACATAGAATTGACATAACATCATAACAATAATAACAGGTCATCACATAGTAATGCCATAACATCATAACATCACAACATTACATTGCATAACAACAGGGTAAACATAACAACATTACATACCAACATGAAATAACAATATAGCACGACAACATGACATAAAATTAAGGACAACATGACATTGCAACAAGACACAACAAGGTGACATAACGTAACATTCACTTACTTTCATGAGGCCAAACTTCACCCGTTTCCTCAAGTAAAAGAAGACGAAAAAATAGAAAAACAGCATAAGGAAGCATGGTCCATGATGGCCAACAATGGCAATGATATACACAAAGTGTCGGTTGTGAGCCGGATCCCATCTACATTCGTCCGGAGATTGGTGGTTGTTGACTCTGTCCAGAACAAGGGGAGGGATCCAGAGGACACAGGTGAGGAGCCTGCCAAAGAAAAATCCATACACATTACTTGGGCCGCTGGTAAATCAGAGCATACCTATATTTGGACGGGTCGTGCAAATTCTGCCGCATGTAGATGCCTCGTACCGAAGAAAACTCTAGATTATACGATTGTATCGTAAGAAAGAGACGCACTCTGTTCTTTGGCCACATAATGAGACAAAAGGATAGTGGAAAAAGGGGTAGAGGCAGACCAAGAGAGATGATGCTGAATGGGCTGAAACGATGGGATGGAGGGATATCATCAAGAGAGCTGTTCCAGGCAGCTAGGGATCGTGATTGTGATATATGTATGTGTGTGTCTTTTCTGTTTGTGTATATATGTAGATGTATATATTTAGATATGTCTGTATATGAGTGTGCAAGTATGAGAATGTGAGAGCATATATATGTATTTGAGTGTGTAAGATTGTGTACACATGGTGTATGTATTATATTCTATAATGTATATTTTTATTCTATATCTATAACATGCATTTTAAATAACAGGCATTGGTACTCCGGAAAACGAGTGCTTAGAAGGGCCGAATGTCAGACGGGCCTGCGTGCCCAATTTGTAACCCTTTGAAAATAAAGTTTGTTCGTTCGTTCGTTCGTTCGATCTGTGGAGATGCATGAGCGCCTACTCCAGTTGACAGGGCACATGATGATGATGATCTTACAGGAATGCCTAGACGGTTTAGGTAGAGAGAAGAAATGAGGCCTACACGAACAACCTAATTGATAGATCAGTTTGTCCCTTTGAGTTGCTACCATGCCATCCTGAAATTCACAAAGCTCAATCTGGACGACAGACAAACAAGGAAGATCCCATTTACCCCATTCAACATTTTAAATAAAGTTATCATTAGGATACCCGTAACTACTGCATCAGCTAGACGCGTCGTAACAGTCTTAAATGCAAACATCCTTTAAAGGGTTTCAAGATAATGTAGTGAAATCTTTTACCTTGGTATTCGAACGTTGTGGATTAGGGTTTTAGCTATTCTTAGGCTTCGGGAATGCGGTTGTTTCGGAAATTGCTGGTAGTCGTCATCGAGGTTCTGGACAAACTAACTTTGTTCAACAGCCATAGTTGTGTAGAATTTCGATGAAATCTTGTCTTGTGGCTTTTAACGATATCATCACATTGAAGTGTGATACACAGACCCTTCTAGTCTAATTCATTAGGTGAAATAATTATTCGATTCATTGTGTGATCAGTATCACACAGACTGCCTTTACTACCATAACCTTTCCTGTCATCCATGGAAAGTTGGTTTTACCCTTTACGTTGAAAGACCAAATAAATGAAACTCATCGAGTCGATGATAATCGGAACACACAGCCATGGGGCAAGCGTTCCAACCACTGCGCTACAGATGATACCAGTAACAATATAATAATAACTATTATTATTGCTAACACATACACCCGTTTGGGTTCCGGGGCCCTATTACAGCGGAAAAAAAAAAAAAGACCCACTGCCTTCCCAAAAGCATTGTCACATACCGCTCGTTTCGCGTGCCTGATTTAAGGATTTCTCCTTACAAACCAACAGCACTCTGAAATAGAATAATGTTGAGGCGTCGGCTCGTATTGGTCTATAGGGTATCCCTTGGCCAATATACGCTCAACTTATTTCAAGAGTAGGGCAACTCAAGTTATGGCACTACAGAATATCTAATAATAATAGGCGCAACTTGGCTGGACGCCCCCACTAATATAAAAAGGTAGCCCCCCCCCCCCAGGCTATGATAGTGTACTATCATAGCCATGTTAACACAGATGAAGATTATTAATTGAACATACATGTACTTTAGACAGCTAAGAACAATGAATTATTTACACTCCAGTCAATAGTGAAAACTTGAAAATACATGTAATAAGTTCAACATCAACATGATATATAACTCAAGAAAAGATATTAAAAAGCATTGAAATATTTAAAGATCAACACCGAAATTCCTTTGACGGACATTGAGGAATCTCTTAGAGGCAGCCTGACATCATCATGGTGATTTGGAGTGGACCTGTAAATATAGAACACGGCACCACCCTAGAGTTAACTACTTATCTGTTCCTATTCCAGGTTGGAGTCACTGCACTTATCAGTTCATGATACTGGAACAGGCTGGCCTTCTGAGAATGTTCACTTCAATGGTTGATCTGGCAGACACAGTAACATATAGAGTTCAAAATTGGAGCTGAACAAGCTCCAGAAGAGGGTGTTCTGGACCGAGGGTGATCCTGATGGCCTGGAACAACAGCCTTTCAGCTACTGGAACCCAACACGCTCCTGAAGAAGGCACACTGGTGTGAATGTCAGTTGGGCTGCCTGTAAGCAGATGCATACAATTGGCTCCCACATTGCTGTTTGCCATAGTGATGGTTTGATAGTGGGTAATTTGGTGGTTGGCAACTTGGTAGTGGGCACTTTGGTGGTTGATGCTTTTCTAGACTGCTGATTCACTGCCTGGCCTCCAAGAAGATATCCTGTATCAGGAAGGAACTCAGAATTAGTAGTCATCTCAAAGGTTACATGCTCAGCTCATTTATTTACCCTCCTACCCTGGCAATCACTCAGAGGACGGCAGAAGTCTCCAAATTTCTCTCTGTCGGTCAGTCAGGAACAGGGACAGGAGACGAGCACAACAGTGGAGACAGATAGACTCTCTCAAACATAGACCATCATCTCTCCAAACCCACATCTGCACTTTCAGCCACACCAATTATCATTCTCCCACAGATGTATATATCACAGTCTGGTCGTAGTTGACCTGTGTTGATTGAGAGTGATCTATAAATAACCCTGGACGCCACTGTGTTTCGCCAGCTGTGCACAAACTGAACGCTGACCCAATTATCTCGCCAGCTTCAATGCTTTTATTCAAAATTCCAACCTGCTCGTTAGAAACCTGATCAGGCTGTCAGATTAATTCCTTTATATTAACATTGGTTTAGGTAAGACACCTAATCACAGTTTGCAAAGGGACAAGGTTGATTTAGTTGCCTAGGAGTAGATTGACATCAAGAACAGTCTCGTTCAGCAGTGTCACATAGCTGAATCATTCCTCTACTCAGCAGCAGGCTAAATGTATAAATATAAATACATGGTACTCGCACACTAAAATCAACTTACCCAAACTTAGGATTTCCTCCAGAAATTAACTGGTACTTTTCAAAGTAGAAATCAGGCACAAAAGCAAATGAGTCTGGACTCTCTGAAAGTCAGCAGTGAATGAGAGGGACATTTTGGCGTCCTTTTCAAAGAAAGTAGCCCGCGATATTAATGCGTCGAGAAGTAAAAAGGCTTCTCGGAATTCTGAATATTAATACAGAGAATCTCTACCCCACAACTGCAAATTTGAAACTGAAGACTTTACAAGAGATCCAGAAGAAATAGATATGTCTATTTCATCAGATAAAGGTATAAATAGATATGATGGACTATATACCCACCGGACGGGTCTAAATTTGAAATGTGACCTGCCCGCTAGATGCGTTAACGGCACGAATAGTTCACTGTGCAGGAGTAGGTTAATTCACTTCACGACAAGCATGTCATAAGTCGACTAATTGGGAGGTTACTTCGAAGTCGGAGTGCATTTGCCAGAGAGGCAAAGAACCAACAATTTGCACACAAATGAGTCAGATCTGTCAAACGGATGCACATGCAACACAGGTTCTGGAACATGACTGCAGTCCAGAAGTGGACGAACAACCAGAACTTTCCGCCGGAGATTACAGCTGGTGAACGCGAAGAAGAAAAAGACGAAGAAGATACCACGTACAAAATGTTTATATGAACATCAAAGGAACGGAAACATACAAGTACTTGGGTAAAAACTACAACTGCACCAGTATACTAAGAGAAGAAATACAATCTAAAATAGAATATGAAAGTAAGATATAAAATGCCCTACAACTGGAGCCGCACTGGTGTAATGGCTAGGCGCTCGTCTACAGAACAATGGTAATGGGTTCGGGTTATGACAGAGCCGATCTTTTCTCGAAGATAACCTTGGCTCGCAGATCTACCCAACCTTAAAAAGTAAATCCCTGGTAAGTCAAGGCGTGATGTTGACTACATCAGCAACCAAGTGCTGATTGCTCTATAAAATATAGGTTTAGCACTATATGCCCAAATTCCCGCCAGCGGATCAGAAGGTCGTGGGTTCGCGCGCTGACAGAGCCAGACATTTTTGTCAGAAATGACCTTTCCTCCCAGGTCGACTCAACTCAGCCTTGAGTGGGTTCTAGGTATAGTCATTGAAAGTAAAGGCGGCCGGCATGATGCTGACCACATCTCCACCAAGGGCCTATTGACATATAAAAATATAAGTCTAGCCCTATATTCCAAATACACCTAAAAGGCGCGGAAAAAGAACCTTTACTTTTACTTTATGCCCAGCATACCTGAAGGAGTGGAAGAGGCTCCTTTACTGTTACTTATGCCCTACAACATCTACTAGAGGGAGCCGCGTTAGCGCAGTCGACAAGAAGCTCGCTTTCAAATCCAGCTGCGACTCGCTGCAGCCCAAGGTCGCTGTTGGAAACCGGGCGGTTCCCGGGGTTCACCCAGCCTCTAGAAAATGGGTACCAAAGTTGACACTCTGGGGTAAATGGAGGAAAGTCGCTGTAGCTTCAGATTTACGTGCGAACGGCGACACAGACTGACAATTCTTATCAGCTGTCCGTACTGGTGGCAGAGCACTTATGGTTTGTAACCGTGTGCAATGACGCTGGTTCACATCTCCCAACTTTACCTTTACCTTACATCTGCTAAAATTAAATGTGCTGTCTCGTAACACCACAATCACAATAAACAAAACAATAGTAAGACCAATGACCCCGCTGGATTAAAACCTGGAATACAACTTAAAGAGACGAAGCCTTATCACAAACTTCATAGAAAATACAATTTTAGGACGACACTTTGGACCTATCAAATACAGCAAACGGGAGAATAGAGTGAGAAACCATAGTTAAATTAATAATCTGGTTTACTCACCACTAATTACTTGCACAATGATAGCTAATAGTCTGCAAAGCTGAGTCATATAGAGAGAATGGCAGATGACAGACAGACAGTACACAAACGAGTTTAATCCGAATATACAACTGACCAAGAAGAAGGTGGAGAGTTCATAAACAGGTAGGACATACAAACACTTGGGAGTTACTTACTGAAGATAGAGTAAACCAGTCACAGAGATGAATGGAAGCGGGTGATGCCTGCAGTGATGAACTTACACGGCTCGGAATGCTAACGGATTTATTATTTTTAATATTAAAACTACGAAATGAAAATATAGGAGAATATTCACTAATTCACAGCATTACGAACATGGTTATATTCACATATACCATTAACATTGGAGCCGCGGTAATGTAGAGGACGGACGCCCGCTGGCAACAAATTGGTTTCAAGAGGAATTTAAAAAAATGGGATTTGTTTATAAAAATATTGATCTGTCATGGAAAAAAGAAAATTACTGCTTGTGTTTATCACTTTTGCGTCGTAGTAGAAAAACAAGACGTGTGTGTGTTTGTGTGTTTGTGTGTGTGTTTGTGTGTTTGTGTGTTGTGTTGGGGGGGGGGGGGGTTCAACTGAGCTTGAGGGTTTAAGGCTGCAAGGCAGAGTGCCCCCTTCCATGTCCGTGTTTCCTCTGTGTCGTCTCTCTTGCGAGAATAGAGAGTACGAGAACATCCTACCCAGATTTAGCTCCTTAATAACACGTTAGTTATTTTTAGTCGGCCCTATCTCTGCCCTGTATGTATACTCTTATGTCGCTATTTGGTCGTTAAATCCTATGCTTTATACGCTCTGTAAATGACTTCTAGAGGCAGTGTACATTTTGTTGCTTAGTACTTGACAATATACCACAGTAAAACACCGTTATTCTAGTGGACATTTGAGGATCTGAAGGGACAATTACGTCTAGACCAGTGGTTTTCGTAGTGGACTGTAATACCCACAGAGGACTGTGGAAATGCAATCATATCTGTGTGTTTCAATGTTAACAGTGCAAAGTAACACTTTATGTACGAAACAACACACGAGGTGTGACTGCATAGTATTCATGTGCGTCAGCAAACGGGCATGGTTGCACATCTCACATAGAATCAAGGCATACTCTGCTATTTCAAGTGGGTGCAGGACCCCATTGTGGGGAAAACAAGAAGATACCCACTGCCTACATCCCTCCTCGCCCCCCCCCCCCAAAAAAAAACATGTTATGAAAGTCGACTAAATGGAAGCTCTCTTTGAAGTTGGAGCGCATCTGTCCACTAGGCAAGGAACCAGCAGTCTTCATTCACACGGGGCAGATCTGTAAAACGGACGTGAACACAACACTCAGGTTCTGGAACAAGAAGTGAACGAACTTTTTCTTGCTCATTTGAATGCAGAATGTTGGTTTCTTCCTACTCAGCCAGATACCCTTCTACCTTGAAGGAGGCTCGCAGTAAGTAGAATCTTACCACATGCTTTTGGATAGTCAGGATGTCTATTTTTGTTTTCCCCCACAATAGGACCCCAAAAACCCACACGGGGAGAATTGAAGAATTAAATAAGAGCCCTATGTGATACATAATATCACAAAAGAATGACGATGATCTTCGTTTTGTCTCCACTCCTCGAATGCCTCCCAGGGTCCGAGTAGGAATAGATCTCCGGAACAAGTCCCTCTTCTGTTCGCTTCTTCTGTCCTTGTCATTTCATTCGGTTCGTGAGATATCTTCATTTTTGCTGTGGTTTTCGAGCACTAAAAAAAAACATTTTTGATTTGCTGTCATAATGTTTTCAAACTTCCTAGAATGGCCACACATGAATTAGACTATCACATTTAGGCCTGTATAACACAGTGTCCTCTCTAGGATTTCTGTTAGATGCTGGACAAAAAACATAATCAACTTGCCAGATCATTTTGACCCGAATGATGATTAGAAAACATTAGCAGAAAATATAAACTCCAGAACATCACATTATATGGACACGACTGGCTCACAGAAGCACTTACTTACCAAACAATTGCCAACATTACCATCGACTTCTTCTTTTTGTTGACGGTCCGATAGCTGAGACTCCAAAAGACTGACCAGAATCTGAATGGGGAAATTAACTGGCAGAAATAAGTTCTGCAATGGATAAACAGTTTTGAGGAAGTAGAGAGAGAAGAAGCGAGATCAATACTTGTCAGTTTTTAGCAAACACTGTCCTTGAAGAGAGTACTGACTTCCTAATAATTCCTGTGTGGGTTCCAGGGCTATATTTTGTGGGAAAAAAAAAAAAAAACATAGTTGACACATTGGCGTAAGAAGCGATTAAATGGTGGGGGTGGGGGGAGGGTGGGTTGCTGAAATGAAAGGTGTTGGGCCGAAAGAACCAGCTATCAGAGTCTAATTGTGATACAGTGTTTTTCCTTACGAATAACATACTGTACATTGTTACGGAAACTCTAAGATGCGACTAAGTTCTTATTTTTGTGTTCCCCGTCTCGTTCTTTCATAATGTCGACTACTTTCTGGGTGATCCATGGTGATTTAGTCTGACCTTTCATGTGGACCTCCTTAACTGGCACATGTTTATCAAACACTCCAATTAAGGTCTTTGGCAAAATTTCCAGAGCATCATCTGGATCAGGAAGTTAATAAACGTGGTCAAGGGATGCTTTTAGCAAATCTAGTAGAAATGCCTCTTGATTTAAACTTATATAGTTTGTAAATTGTTTGCCTATATGTTTATGTTTTAGGAGTTTTAGCTCCCCTAGTCGACCATGTACAGCAAATTGGAAAATGATCGGACGTTGCGAAAGTGGGTTCCTTGCATTCTACTATATTGTCAGGACATGTTGCATAAATGTGATCTATACTTGTTGACGATGATTTAGTTACTCTAGCTTGTTTAACTAGTTGTTGAAGATTGTATGAAGTAACTATATTCTCCCATGTGTTGTTAGACTTTTGAGTATCGATATTGAAGTCCCCAAGAAGTATGATTTCTCTATCCA